AGAAGCTATGTATTGCCTATATCACTGCTCTGGAGACTCTTGCCTGTCAAGTTACACGTATTTATATAAGCTATGATATAATATACACTGAACAAAAATATAAATGCAACACTTTTGTTTTTGCTCTCATTTTTCATGAGATGAACTCAAAGATCTAAAAACATTTTCTATATACACAAAATAACCATTTCTCTTAAATATTGTAAACAAATCTGAAAAAATCTGTGATAGTGAGCACTTCTCCTTTGCCTAGATAATCCATCCCACCTCACAGGTGTGGCATATCAAGATGCTGATTAGAAAGCATGATTATTGCACAGGTGTGCCTTAGGCTGGCCACAATAAAAGGCCACTCTGAAACGTGCAGTTTTGCTTTATTGGGGGGGTTGGGGGGGTCCGAAAACCAGTCAGGTTTAACCCTAACCCTAACATGTCACCCGCTGACACATTAAAAAATGTTTTAGGGTTTAACCAGTCAGGTTTAACCCTAACCCTAACATGTCACCCACTGACACATTAAAACATGTTTTAGGTTTTAACCCTAACCCTAAATTGTCAGTGGGTGACATGTTAGGGTTAAACCTGACTGGTTTTCAGACCCCCCCAGACCCCCCCAATAAAGCAAAACTGCACGTTTCAGAGTGGCCTTTTATTGTGGCCAGCCTAAGGCACACCTGTGCAATAATCATGCTGTCTAATCAGCATCTTGATATGCCACACCTGTGAGGTGGGATGGATTATCTCGGCAAAGGAGAAGTGCTCACTATCACAGATTTTTTCAGATTTGTGAACAATATTTGAGAGAAATGGTTATTTTGTGTATATAGAAAATGTTTTAGATCTTTGAGTTCATCTCATGAAAAATGGGAGCAAAAACAAAAGTGTTGCGTTTATATTTTTGTTCAGTGTATATAGGTTAATTACCTCCCGTGCTCCCAGGTGCGCAGATTGGATGAGGACGCATTCACACACACACAGACAAACCCCGTGCGAAACCCGAAGCAAATTGGCTCCAACAGTAAGATAACAGCAACAATATGAATAGACACAGGTTTATTTAGAATCTTCAAAGGTTAGAAAGTAAAGCAATGAATTAGCTGAAATGCTAGATACTTACCTTAACCTACACCACCTGTTAGCTTGTGTCATACACTAGCATAGTGAGGACACAAGCTGCTGCAATAACAGGATTGAGGCAGGCAGACAGATGCTCAGCTAAGGTTAATTATTTATTTACCTTAATCAAGGTTAAGAAACGGTGAGGTCCATTTAAGAGATTTCTTTAATCATTTCAATTCATTACAATGACAGGTAAGAAGGATTTTTAAATGTTTCTTCTGCAATGTTAGCATATCACAGCTCCTTCACCATGTGTCTATCTCCTCCTTGAAGCTGCTGAGCATGAGAAACTCTGACGGAGGATTTGCCACGTATGAAACTAAGAGAGGAGGGAGGCTGCTGGAGCTGCTCAACCCCTCCGAGGTGTTCGGTAGGTCTGCTGCTCTCACCATACACTCATGTGCAATATACCCTGGGTCATTTACATGTTTACTTTTCTCTTAATTTATTTACAATCTGTTCCGTATGTAGTAAACACTACCAGCTAGTTATATCATTTTATATGGTCCCTTATTTATAAATACTGTTTTAGTATGCAAGTCTATTCTCTTTACTTTATCTGCACTATACTTCTGCTGTTGTTATAATGTACATGTCCCCGTTGCGGTACAGATAAAGGGATTCTGATTAATACTCTCTGAACCCATATTTTAACCGCAAGACATGTTCAGGCTTAAAAGAAAAACAACTCTATCGATTAGATTTTATATCATTATAAATCCATTGTTTGACGATTCACAAGGAATGACGTTAAAGGTCACAGAGTTCTTGGAAACACAAAGAAGGTTTGCGTCATAATAACAGCATAAAGGTGCATGGTGCCTATGAACTCCTCCGTGGTTACACAACCTGCAAGTATGCAGATGTGAAACATGGAAGCAAACACCAAGCCACATTTAAACGTGACATTTCCATCCCCTTTCAACATCCCAAATCTGTAAAAACCTTTCCCGTACCCTCCCAATATGTTGCAATGTAAGAGAGATTAAAGGCCAAGGTCATGTTTCCCTGTTGAAAAGAGGATGCAGTGAGTTTTGTGAAATGGGAAGTTTTAAGCAGCTCTGCGTGTTTTCTCCTCCCACACAGGTGACATCATGATCGATTACACCTATGTGGAGTGTACCTCTGCAGTAATGCAGGCTCTCAGGCACTTCCAGAAGGCCTACCCAGAACACCGTGCAGAGGAGTTGAGGTATACTGATAGAATATAGAATAGAACAGACAAACTTCATTGATCCCAAGTTGAGGAACTGTTTTGTTACAGAGCATTGCACATTGAAATCCATATTATTATTACATTGAAAATATAATAAAATATAAACAGTACATACATATACAGTACATACAATACATACATATCAACATTAGAATTATAAATATCTCTAGTGTCTTCAGAGTAAACAATATGAAGTATACAGAATAAGTTGGAGAACACTGTCATAGGCCTACTTACTATGAAATAAAATACAATATACTTACATGTGACTTTTTTAAATTACATTCTACACACATACTTTATCCATTTGATTTATTCAGTTCCTCATAAATGCTTGACTTGCCAAAAAGATTGAAGATAAGATATTAGCACCATATCTACAGAAAAAAAGAAGTAATAGAAATCCAACCTGTCAAATTCATCTTTAACTTTGTTTATTGTGTGTTTTGAAGGAAATACGAGTCTGCAACCATTATTCTACATTTAAGAGGCACAATTAGTTACATGATATTATCATATACTGTATCATCAACATAATATCCATGAATTAGATTTGTATCCTCAATACCGGTACAAAGCTACCCTTCTCATCGGACAGAATGAGTAAAACATACATTAACTTATAAAAAGCTTCAAACTAAGACGGCTAAGTTCAGTTCATAAGTCTGAAAGTGCTTTAAAAACAAGTGAAGGCAGAGATCCATTACACTGGGAAAAAAAGATATGCTCACACAAGCACATTCTTCAAAATCAATTCTCCTGTTTAAGTTTTAGAGGAATCTTTGAAACTCAGTATGAGAGGGGAAAGATCTCTGTTGATGTTTATTTATTTGTTTCTCAGGTCCACTCTACGAGAAGGACTGGAGTACTGCAGGAAGGTGCAGAGGCCTGATGGATCATGGGAAGGGTGGGACTACAATTCCTTTTTTACTATGGGATATCCTAACTAATTGACAGTTCATGTTTAATGAAATAAATGATTTGCTTATTCTTAGGTCCTGGGGAGTGTGCTTCACATATGGAATATGGTTCGGCCTTGAAGCCTTTGCCTGTATGGGTCACGTCTATCAGGATGAGTACGTTTTCCAAACACTGAACAATTAGAATCACTTTAACAAACAGCCACACTGTGCTCCTTCACCTGACAAGCCCCACATTGTGACATCCATCCTCTCTTATCTACATACTTAATCACACTGCTGTGCCTCTGTTTCCAGCCATGTGTGCGAGGAGGTGCAGAAGGCTTGTCAGTTCCTGCTGGACCGGCAGATGACAGACGGAGGCTGGGGGGAGGACTTTGAATCATGCGAGCAGCGGCGCTACGTCCAGAGCAGCAGTGCCCAGATCCACAACACCTGCTGGGCTTTGTTAGGCCTCATGGCTGTCAGGTAAAGCAGCGTGACAACTCAGAGGTTTGGTGGTTATGCTAGGTCACAATGCAATTGGCACATGTATACAGTGTGTGGAAAATACCACAGTAAGGGGTAGGATAGATACGATTACAATATTTGTTTGTTTGTAGCCTTTATTTATCCAGGTAAAAAATCCCATTGAGATATATTTAGTGTATTAAGAATAAGAGAATGCTATGGAAAAAAGATGTCTCAACATTTAGTTTCAAAGTCATTTTCGAATGGTGATGTCCTCACTTCTTTTGGCAAGCTATTCTGGAGGCGAGGTCCATAGACACTAAATGCTAAAAGTATTCAGGCACTAGTCCATGGAGTGGTTTGAACACGAATATAAAAGGGTCCTAACATCTATTCTAAAGTTGAGGGGAAACCAATGAAAGGAAATTAAGATAGGTGAAATGTTTCTGGTCTTAGTTATTAAACTTGCTGCTGCATCCTGCAAGATCTGAAACCTATTTATAGCTAACTTAGAAAGGCCAGAAAGTGACCAAACCAGTTATCTAGTCTCTTAGTTTCTGCCTGGGAGAGAAACAGTTGAACGTTGGCAATATTTCTAAGGTGTTCAAAATACCTTTTTGTAGCATTACTGATGTGAAATTCAGAATGCCAATTCAGATCTGAAACTTTTTCCTAGGAACTTGACATCTAGCGCTGATAATTAGTTAATGAGTAATTAGGCAATTCTCTCTCTGGATCTTTTGCTCAGATAAATGTATTCAACCAGGAAATCTTTAGGACTGATATTATTTAGTAATATAGACAAGTAAAGTTGTGTATCATCAGCATAGCTAGGAAAAATAATCCAGTGTTTTCTGAGGACTTTTCAAGTGGCAGCAAATAAAAGAACACAGGTCCAGAAATAGAGCCTTGAGGAACCCCAGATGGGTGATATTTACAGCTGTGGGTTTTTTAGGAACTTTAACAACGGCAACTCAACTCTGCACTTATCTTGCTAGTTAACGGTTAATGATCAATTTAAAATGGGTCAGATCTTATTCAGAATTATCCTTTTTTTATATCAGCATTCCTGCACGATAAAAAAATGAATAAACCCCAGTTTTGCTTTGATTGCATGTATGCTGTGCTCTTTAATGTGCTATGCTACAAAACAGAACTTTCAGTCAATAGTCAAATGTAATCAAATTTAATTGAACTGAATCCAAGCAAAAGTCATTAATTTCAACCCTCTTGTGTGCATAACCAGGCATCCCGATAGGCGGGCCATTGAGAGAGGAGTGCAGCTTCTGATTGACAACCAGCTGCCCAATGGAGACTGGCCACAGGTGGGTCAATGAGTCGCATACATCTTCATATAGACTGCTTTCACTAAGCTTATACCAGTAACATCACAACTCATAACAAATCAATCCATGAAAGAATGAAATATATATTAGACGTTTATTATCTAATGTTTTTGTATTGTCCTCTCCAGGAGAATATTGCAGGTGTGTTCAACAAGAGCTGTGCCATCAGCTACACCTCCTACAGAAACGTCTTCACAGTCTGGACCCTCGGCCGCTTCTCAACACTTTATCCCAGCAGTCCATTGGCTGGAAAGGTCAAGCTGTGAATAATTGTATTTAAAACGTATCAGACTATGTGCCACTATAAGAAAACTGAATGCCTTGAAAGCAAATAACACAACAGCCATGAAGTTCAGACCATCATTGAAAATGGTCGTTTTATTTGTCAGCCTATAGGTTTTATGCTCATTTCTCACCTTCATTGACGTTTGAAAACTTCTGCTGTGTTCTCAGAGTTTAATCTATCTGATAAGGAATCACATTTCAATCTTTGAATTACTTTCTTTGTTGACATTCCAGCAATGCTTTTCCAACAGGGCTACTCCCTACAATCATGTTGTAATAACCTGCTGCTGCTAATCAAGAATGTGCTTTGAACCTGTATGTCTATGTTGCCTGAAATCCCTGCCACTTCCCTTGCATTTCCATTGAGAATAAATACTTTTTCTATAGTATAATCATGACTTGATGTGTTCTCAATGAATGTTCTTGACCATGTGACATTTTCTTGTTTGTGCTAAGAACATTATCAAACCGTAGTGCATACACTGTATGGATATTTGAGCAATTCCTCAGAACGCATGTAGCTGATCAATAATGTTTTTAATTGTATTGATGTTTTGAGTGTGACAGCGATGTTTTAACCTTCATTCAGACTCTGAAGTAGTGAGTAGGTTGACAGAGCAGAACTTTTTTTTTCTTTTGGTGAAGGAAGCATAAAAGATTCCTTTCAGTCTGGTTCTTTAACTTTAATGTGCAGGGTGTGTACATTGCGTCACCTCAACACGCCCTTAAAGAATGTCTTCTCTGTTTCTAATGTATAGGCTACTCTGCAATTTTAAACCCTTGTGTATTCTGTGAAGAACGAATGAATTGCCCTTTGACCACTTTCCCATCTGTGACACACCTAGTTAGAGGTGTGCTTGTGAGGAATGTTTTGATTCAAATGAATACGTGCGCGCGTGTCAATGTTCTCAATGTATTCTTACATAACGGCAGTCATCAAATAGCATGAGCGAGTTTTCCGTTGTGTAGCTGCAGTGAAGGGTGACACAATGTTGGTCATCCTTGTCACAACAGCGATGACATCTTGAGGAAGACAAATCTATGTAACTGGTTATGCCACTGTTATTTTAAAAACAGATTGTGATGAAAATGTTTTTGAATCACCTCCCCCACCTTTTTCCTATGTCCTCTTCTGGATTACACATTTGATAGCACAGAGTGGATCAGTTGATTTCCAATGTTTGTCAGCTGAGTGAAAGTCTGACTTTCTGAACCTCTTTTAAGCTGATCTGTGGCTCTTCAAGAGTACAAGGTACATGGTGTGGGATATGCCAACCTTTAAAACATAAAAAAGTTAAAACAAAACAAATGAACTATCATTATCAACCAAATTCTTATAGATGTTGTGTTGCATGACATCTACTGAAATTGGCATGATAATGATTTAGCCCATCGTATCCCGTAATACCTGGTTCCTCTAGTGGTGACAGTGAGTCTCTGACCAGAGGGAGAAGAAGTATACGTAGCTTCACTGACTTGTATTAACATAACAGCCGCAGTCTTTATCTGTTTTATAGTAGAGTATTAGAATATTTTCAACCTGACGGGAATGAGAAAACATTTCATAGGCTTTCACTCACAGCCACCGGCAGGCTGTTTCGCGGAAAAGATTGCTCTGCAGCCACTGATTACAGACATGGCTTCAGTTAGCAGTTTGTGGTTTCTTTGAATGTATCCAATGGCTGAGGATTTCATACCTTTCACCAATGAATCTACAGGAATCTAAACAAAACATCCTTTATGCAGACAACCTTCCATTTTACCTATAAATCTCTTCTCTTCATTACCCAAATCCATCCAACTCATGAAGGCTTATCAAATCCATCATTATCCCACTCAGTATTATTAGCTGGGCTGTGGCAGTACAAACACCACCTCTCTCTCCTCAAACGTTTACATATTTTAGAATAAACATTTCCCTATGATACCAGATTAAGGTTCATATAAAATATGGGTATCAACTTCTTTCCACTTTCAACTTCCTTCAACATTGGATGACCAATATCATAGCCAGAAATGCTGGACTTGAAAATCGACCATATAACTTGTGATAAATAAATTATTGTCAATGATCCTGATCCAGCCCCAACCCTCAAAGCCAAACAGAACAAACTTAGAATCGAAAAACGATCCCCTTAATAAAAAATGAAAAAGTACCAAACTCTCCATTACTTCATTGCCCAACGACTCCAATACTTTCACATATAGATGGATCCCAACAATTCCTTAACAGCTTTATTGGAAACAATATGCAAGACATCCATATTTCAGACTTACAATTCAACCACTTCACTATTACAAACCATCCACGTTTCAAAAACCAGAAAATAGCTACAACTTTGACAGCCTGATAAATAATTGTACCAAATAACTAAGAACACTACCATCCGGAACAATCCTGATATCTTATTAAACTCAATTAGTGCAATCAAGATAATATTTGCATTTAAGGGTATAAAATATATTTGGTAGGAGGAGAACCGTAACAACCAACAACAGTTGAATTCTTACCATGAGCCAAATCAATACTAAGAGAGGGCAGGACCTGTGTATAAGACATTACATTACATTGCGTTTAGCTGACGCTTTTATCCAAAGCGACTTACAATAAGTGCGTTCGACCAACAAAATACAAACTTGAAGAAAACAGAATCATATAAGTACATCAGGTTTCATAGAGCTAAAACATTTCAAGTGCTACTCAACTGGCTTTAGATAAGCCAGTCCTTTGTTAGTATATAAGTGGTTTGTTAGTAATTCTATCGCTCGAAGTGGAGTCGAAAGAGATGAGTTTTCAGTCTGACTGGATTTAATTTATATCCCCTTCACTATGTATCCAATGTAGACTCGGAGAGCCAAACAACAAATAAATTGGAAGACGGCGATTAAGCTCATAAATGCATCATACCGAACTGACTTGCAATTTTCTTTAAAAATCATAGGACTTGATTTTCCAGACTATTTTGCATAAGAGTACATAAAACTAACAAAAGCAGTAACCCTACTCCATTAAGTCAATATGGCTCATGTTGTTGTCCTGACAACCAGCCTAGCATTTCATTGTTGATTGTTGGGTATTTGTTGCGTTTAGGCACGCAAAGAAAACTGACAGCTGAAACTAAAAGTATGTCATCACTATTCAGAAAGTCTTATCTCCTGATAACATCACACTGTCTGTCAAACACTGACTCAACACCCGGAGTGTATGACAAAATAATTCCAAACGCATTGGTTACACAATTTGTGTTTGTTTGGGTCAGACTGAGGGCAGTTTGCAGTCACTTCCATTTGAAGGTACTTTTGATTTAAATGAGATCAAATATGTTAGGTACCTCGAAGCTTCAACATTCCATCGAACCGTGAGACAGAAAGAACGCGCTGTCTTTTGTGAAATTGTGATGATTCATCTGGTATTCCTATTGTGTAGCTATTTGTGATTGACACTGACACTGACACACAGTGTACCCTTGCAAAACAAATAGTATCTGATAAGAGAGCAGGGACCGCCCCAGCCTAATGGACCGCTCACCTTCAGGTTTCGTTACATTTAAAAGGAGCAGCAGCTCACAGTGAGGCTGAGGATCTGCTGCCCAGTACACAGTAAGTGAACCTTTACTGATCATCTATGCATATATAAATACATACATTAAATATTTTTAGTAATTTTGCATTGTCACACCTCAACACGCCTTACAGTTGCAATTGTTTTATCTTTTTGTACAGGGGATCTGTGGAAAATGTCTGGACACCACGGTAAATAGCTGTTTTGGTTTATTCTCATAACTTTGTAACAAATGCATTGGATGTGCATCACATTTACTAAATATTGATTTTTTAACTCCAATACCAGGGGGACACTGTGGAAGAGGAGGCCATGGCCATGGTGGTCATGGACATGGACGCGGTCACGGTCATGGACATGGACATGGACAATGTGGTCAAGGCCATGGACATGGACAATGTGGTCAAGGCCATGGACATGGACAAAGTGGATGCCATGGAGTGAAGCGCAGGTGCAAGCCCAAGCATGGACGCAAGCATATCAAATGTCACAAGAAGGGAAAGGAATGTCACGGGGTAAGACTCAACAGTGCAGTTTTTTCCACAGAAAGTTATTTTTTTCAGAATTCAGAGAAACATGATAAAAGATGTTTGTGTAATCCAATTTAATGAAAGCCGGAATGATATAGTATGGATAAATTATTTTATAATTGATTGCCATTTACAGGAAACTAACATTACAAATGACCTTGAGATTTGGCTTCACTTGACATACAAATGAAATAGAATACGCTCACATTTAAAAACAGTAAAAATCCTTGCTCAGGTATCATTAACTCATATAATAATAATACATGGGATTTTTATTGCGCATGTCCACTACAGCACGGAGCGCAGTTAAAGTGTTGCATGCCGTGCCCGGCCCATTTTTGGTTGCGTTTCCACTAGGGGTAGTTCCGCTAGCGGGTACTTTTTCACAGTTTTTCTGGCTCTCCAAAATCGAGGTTCTTTCCGGGCCAACAACTGGGCTGAGTATGCTAAACTAGTGAGAGAATCGCTGGCAACTACAACAAAATGAACATATTTTACCGTGATTTAATTGTAATATATGTTTCAAAATGATGCCGAAGTAACAACATACTGATACCGGTTAGTAAAAACCATGAATGAATGCTTTGACAAGTCTGCAGACAAGACGGCAGGCGAAAAACCTTTTAAAATGTGTGTTTTCTGAATGGAAATTGGCTAAGCTAACGCAGTATTTGCTCCGACCGTCCACACTCACAACAACGGCCTATACAGACATAAATAAACCAGCGACTGTATTCGCCATGACCCAGACAGTCTATGGTTTGTACTTGTTTAACTTTTGTCTAGTTTCTGAACAGATATGAGGAGCTGTGAGCTCCAGGGGCGTCGCCTGGACCTGAAAACATTCGGGGCTTAGCCCACAGTGGCGCTACAGTAGAATGTTCTACTGCAACACTCCCCACACGCACACACACAGCACACCCGCGACTGTTACAATGAAGGCTCGATAATCAGCTCATGGCATCTCGGCCGGGGTAAAGTGCTATTTTTTATGAGTGGGGGGCGTACCCCACCTCCTGTGCAAAGAAAAGCAACATCTTAATCCAGAGATCTCACCATGACTCACGTATGCATGCAGGTGCACGGTTGTGGCAGGACGAGTTTTCTGAAGCCTGAGCTGAACTGAGAACAAAAGCCCTGACATTGTCATGCGATTGTGGTCCATTTGTTACTGTTGCTCACAGAAGCGAAATTAGGAGTTGTTAGTGGCGGTGACGGTTGTGCATTTGTATATTGAAGTGCAGAGAGAGAAAGGACGTAGGTAGGTAAATCAGAGCAACAGCTGCAAAACTTTGTATGCGTGGCTGATGTTCGGAACCCTAGCGGAGGTCCAGTGCGAGGCGGGCGCGGCGGCGCGCCTTCTCTCCTGCGCGAGCTCCTCCGCCATAACCCCGTACGTCCGATACCGTCTCTACCCCGCGTGAGGCTCAACAGACTGAGCCTGAGCGCTCAGGCGTGTGTCGTGTCTCTGAGAGTTGTGAAGATTGAACCTGAGGACGAGTTTCCTGGAGAGCCGCGTGGAGCTGAGGGACCTGAGCAGCAAACCCTGACATCATCATTGGGTGGCGTCCATGGGCTTATGTTGCTCACTAGTAACAAATGTAGGGGATTTGGGTGGAAAGACGGTCTGGTGAGTTGTGAGCTGATTGGAAGTGAATAAAAGAGCGTAGGTAGGGTTAACATCAGGAACAAACACGCGTGAAAAACTTTTATCATCTAGATGTTCGAGTTGTTAATTTCTCTGTACTCTGAAAATAAAAAATCTCTGAACTCTAGAACTGAACCTGAGCACTGGTTTCTTGAACTCTGACTAGTTCAGAGTGGGGTGTTTCTGAACGTATGTGAACTGAACCTGAGCACTGGTTTCTGAACTCTGAACTGAACCTGAACGTTTTTTTTTCTGAACACTTGTAGAGACCCGATACCCACGGTCGTCCCTTGGCCGAACAAGTCGTAGCATGCGATGGCGACGCCCCGGTTGCTTGTGTATTCTTCGACAAAGGTGTTGTTCGGACCTCGTTCCGCCTCCTCCCGGAGAGGAGGCTGGTCTGAGCTCTCGCGAGTCCAGCTGCGGATTGTCCTGGAGACTCCACGAAATCTATGGGGCAAGTGGAGAATCAGGTTCGAGTCCCCAGGGCCGTTGACCGCCTGTGGGCGCCAGGCCTAGCGGCTGCGTCGTGCGGGCTGTGGACGGGATGGCGCTGGGGCCGTCGATATTAGGGTTATGTAAGGTTAGTCCCCTAAAAAGGCCGCGGCGGCAGGGCGGGAAAAATTGGCGACGCTTAAGACCCCACTGAACACCAGTGTGAGGAGCGGGGACTCGTTGGGGCTGGTCTGAGAAAATAGCGCAAACCGCGCCGCGCGCACCCGCCCCCCGCCTCAGGGCAGGCAGGGGTCGAGGGGCTGAAGAATTTTTTTCTGTTTGGCTTCTTTTAGATTTGAGCGTTGTGTTATGAGATGTTGTTGCGCTCCATGGGGACAAAAGAGGACCGGTTCCTGTCCAAGGGGAACTGTGTGGTTGTCGGCTCGCGCAGGTGTGGCGACAGCAAGTGTGCACCATATGAGCAGAGCGCGAGGACTATTACTCACGACTGTGCCCGTCTGTCGTTGGGTTGCGGGCGTGCGCGCGAAGAAGTTTAGGAGGCGCATGGGGTAGTTCCGTTCGGGTACGGTGTCCACACGAGAAGGCACCACACAGAAGTCAACATCGTCGGTCGAGCCGCTAGACCAGACCAATGGACATCGGTAGACCCAGGATGCGTCGGGTACGATCGTGCGTCTAAAGTTCTCGAAAAGGGATGGCAGTCACCTTCTCTCGAGAGAGGACTCTCCGAGTTTATTGGAGTCTCCAAGGTCCGTGGTGGAGAAACGTGATGAGAGCTGGTACATATGCAATCGGAGTTGCACTGCTGAGTTGTAGTTTTCGTTGGGTCCATAGTGGCTTTATGAGTATACGCTCGTCATTGGGTTTTTTTCCAACACAGTTTTTAGTCGTGGTTCTGTGAGGCGGAGAAGTGGTGGTGCGGCCCTCACTAAACATTTTATAGGTTTTCTTTTTAGACGAATAGTCAAGACAAAGGTAGCGTCCCCGACGAACCTGTGTCTACATAGGGTAGTCCTGAGAGAATTGAAAACGAGAGGGTTCGGGACGGTGGGCTCTACTTCGACGAAGAGTCTGAAGTTATGAATGTTTTGTGTTTTTGAAGAGGTTTCTCTTTCTTTTGTTATGTTGTTGTTCTGTTTGTTCTGTGGAGATTGGTTGTGTCGGGGGTAGTGGGTGGGGTGTGGGGGGGTTGGTGTGAGATGGTAGTTTGTATGGTTATATTCTGTATTATGTATCTTATTTAGTACATTATGGTTATTGTGGTTTTGTAAGATTCGATTTAAACCATACNGAATTCACTTTAGGCCTGATTTCGCACTAAAGGTGTGTTGGCATGCACAAGCCTGTCAGTCTGTGCTGAAATGGGGAGTGTGTGTGTGTTTGTGTGTGTGTCTGTGTGTGTGTGTGTGTGTGTGTGTGTGTGTGTGTGTGTGTGTGTGTGTGTGTGTGGATTCACAGTATGTGTGGCTACATGCCTGCCTTCTTATATATCCTCTATGTGCCAGTACACAAACCTGTTTATGTGAGGATGTGTCGGCTGATCTGCCAAAGGGGACACAATCCGTCTTCTGGGCCACAGGTCCCAACTCGTCTGCATATAGGTGTGTGCGTTTGTGAGAGTGTGTGTGACTGTGTGTGAGTGTGTGACTGTGTTGACGGCTAGGTACAGCAGCAGGTACCATCCTGTGAAGGAGTTTGGGAAAATGTTGTTGAAAATGCTAGGATCTTGTATATTTTTCCTTGGATGTTGATCTTGGATTTATATTTGTATTCATGCACTTTAAAGGGTTCACTGATTATGCATTTTAGGTAAACGCGAAATTAGCATCACAATGGCTCCCTTATTAAAAGCAGTGGGAGTTTCCATTACATTTAGGTATATTGCAGAAAATAAGCTTTCAAAAAAAGCAAACGTTAGGCTATTTAAGAAATACATCATGGCATGGCTGTGCATCGCCTCTGCTAAGCTAAAGGCAGCTAATGTTTGGTGTAACGATGTTTAGTTGTCTCCTTCAGTCCCTTGTTAACAACTGCTGTGTTTAGGACACATAAAGCTTCAGACATTCAAATAATACGTTTAAATAAACCATAGTAGTAACATCCTCATTTACGGGTTTTAGGACTCATTCCTGCACCACTACTATGGTTTATGACACTACTATGGTTTATGACATGTATAACTATGTCACTCTATGGGAGAGTCGCTAAATAGTAATATTTTCTATGTTTACTCAAACCTACATGTGCCTGTCATTATAAACCACTTAAATCTTTCAGAGAAAACAAGTCCTGAGGAATTTACCCAAAAGTGGTCAATTGTAAAAGCGCAAGTCAGGGTTGTAAAGCAACAAAGTTAAACAAATGTTTTTTCTGCGAAATCAACAATATTTCTCTCTATTATCAACTGCTTCTACAAAGATTTTTATACCAATAGGATTATATAATGCATTACAATTAGAGATGCTCCGATCGATCGGCCGCCGGTCGTTAACGGCCGATATTCACTCTCGGCCGATCGATCGGTGATCTCTATAAAGGCCGATCAGGAGAGCCGATCACATGATGTAAAATACATGAGACTTTTCTCTGTGCACGGCAAAACAAGCTCGCCAAAATGGCTTCACCAGTCTGGCAGTATTTCAAGGTGTCCGAAAAAGACAACAAAATAGCGGTATGCAACGTGTGTGAAGCAGAAATCCTGCAGCTCCACCCGCTGTGACGGACCGTTGAGCGGAGCAAAACACACAATAAGAGTTAGAACTAACACACTTAGCTATTTTATCTACCTCTGGAACTAGCTAAACTAGTTATAAATATGTTTATTCTTCACTGTCAGGTCACTCATTACTGGATCAGTGAGCTGCATGAGATACTG